GGTGGTTTGTTTGAATTCTGAAAAGATGTGAGCTACAACGCTCCAGGACATCCTAAGTTTTGTGCCAGGCCTTCGGCCTTGACTTTTCCATTCATCAAGATTCTCTGACTCAAACTGATTCTTTTTCATCAACCAACTTCAGCAAAGATCAACTTGAGCCTTCAGATTGCATCAAGCCTTTCTTTCAGACAGACGAGACGTGCAAGTATTCAAACTTAGTCTTATTAATTGATACATTAGGTATCATTTGCATCTTTTTACAAAGGTGTGTTTGAACTAAGAAATGGATGTTTCCTTCAGGCTGTCGATCTGCTGAATATCAAATGGTACCATAGTTTCATATTCTTATTTCTCTTCTCTTTACTGCGTTAAGCTTTTAACCCTTTCCTATACCAACTGTATGTGTGTGTGTGTGTTTATGTGTATGTTAGACCAGTTTAATTGTTTATGTAGTATGTTGGACTAGTTTAAGTGTTTATGTAGTTAATAAAGTCTTATTTGTATCACACTTGACGTTGTTCATTGTTTGCTCATAACTGGAGTCCCTAATCATGCAGATTTATGCTACAGGCTCTGTGTAGAGTTGTACAGTAAGAAAGTTATTTCCCTTAACCAGGAAATTAACGTTCTTAGAATTGACAGACAGTTGACCCTGAGAGGTCAAGTAAATATCTACAGCGGATCTAAATATTTGTAATTAATTATAACTAGTTATGATTAATTATTCATATTTCCCCATGAGCTGATTCGCTACACTGTATTTGATCAAAAATACAACAAAAAATATTACAATTTAAAATATTTTTTCTGTTTCATTCAAATTATTTAATAGTGTCAACAGATATAAAAATTTGTCTTTTTAATGTTTTTAAAAAGAAGATTCTTACGTTCATCAAACTTGCATTTACTATATTTTTTAACAAATACAGTACAAATAATATTGTTAATTTTCAGCAGCCATTACTCCAGTCTTCAGTATCACATGATCCTTCAGAAATCATTTTAATATGCTGATTTGCTGGAAAACAATTATACACTTTTGCAGTTATAACATTTTCATTCAATTTAATGCATTCTTCATTAATTTCTTCCTATAAATGACATATATAAAGATTTATAGATTTTCTAAATACATATTTAAACTATCTGAAAATATAACAAAAGAAAATCTGATTTCTCATGACATGACTTGATGTGATCGTTCTATAAAGCTGTTGAAACAACTATTGTGTAAAATGACCTAAGATTATTCAAATTTAAGAATTTGGCCATACAACCCACCATGGTATTTACAATTTCCTTTGTAAATGTCTAAAAACCGTGGTACTTTTTCATAGGAGCTGTTCACCACCCTAAAACAAGTGCTTAAATGGAACAAAGATGTACAATATTACAAAGCTAATTCTGATTCATCCTCATTCTCCTCCCACAATCACCTGCACAGAAACAAACAAATCATGCGTGTTGGAAGGCTTTCTGTGGTCTTAATCACTGTGTGTATGCAGCGAGGTGACTCATCCTCCACTGTGCTCTCATCATCCTTTACCTGATTCTTACAGAAACTCTTTAAACCTGACAACATCTCCAGGGACTAACAGGGGTCAAATGAAGCCTGCAGAAACACGACGTGATTATGGAAATTCCCCTCACAATTGCTGCAGACGTGTAAACAGCCCTGCTGTTGATTCTGAACGCTGTGTTTACACTCATTCCAGAGGTTCAGTTCTCATCACAGGCCGCTGTTGTCCTCTGTTCACTGCCTGCCATCTAATCAATAAATCACAGCACAGGGGGACGATTTGCTCATGCACATTAACAAATAAAGACCTTCATGAACACTGCTGATTCTACAAACACACGATAGATGGAGTATGTTCATCTAGACCTGTATAAATCACTATGTGAACCTAATGACATCATACAGGACTTTCCATTTATATCCTAATAGTCTTGCCAGACAAAGAAATTCAAGCATGTGAATTTAACTTTTTTCATTCTACATACCCATAAGATCAGTAAAAAAAAGAAAGAAAAGTCACAAAGGATATATATTTATCTCAGTTCTTCTATAGCAATGGAAATCAAATAAGAACACTTCTTCTTAGATATTTCCCCTCAGAAAAAGACCCCAGTGATTTCACATGTCCCCAGATTCAGAAAACATCTAAACGTCTCAAAGTGTTCTTAGATTTGACAAGATGTGCAATCAAAAGTCAGTTCTCAGCATGAACTCAAAAATGTATCTTCAAAGACTATCTGAGATAAATATTCCACTCTATATTCATACTGTGTCAACAACAGTTTGTAACTGTTGCTAAAACTTATAAATTGCTACAATGCTCAGTGATATAAAATTGCTAAAGCAATTAAGTATGTTTGAGAGACAGGTGCAAACAGACTTGATGTCATGGCGCCACTAAGCCAATAAAATATATTAGGGCATACAGCCTACATGCACAATTAAGGTTTCAAGGTAGTCTAGTTAAAAGTGTTTTTCACTGGGAAATGTAGCCTACCTGCAGTGCAGAGCTGTTGACATCATTAAAGTGCAAATGTTTAAAGAATAAAGTTCATGGCTGGCAAAAGATAGGATAGTTTCCATGGCTCCTAGGTAAATATCCATCATATTCAGCGCTCTTGTATCTGTGTTTTGAGTATCGCGCTGGTTGGTTTTACTGAGTGAGAACGCGCTCCAAACGATTCAGCACGTGTGGCGAATGATTCAAATTAAAACACGAAAGGATTCGGACCAGCCTGTGATTCGGACCCTTACTGAACGTAATTGAAAGAATCGACTCGGAAGATTTATTGACTCATTTATTGGGCATGGCTAGTTCGGATTTAAAACAGACAAAAAACAGGACACACACACGATATTATTGCTATGTGGAAAATGATTCTCATGTTGGTAAAAGGCGATCTCTGATCTCAGACAAGGATTTATCAGTAAATTTACTGTAGCTTGAGCACCAATAAAGTTGGCTTTTTATATACAGATTCAGATCGTTCTGCCAACTCCGTTTGAAACCGAGATACGATTCGTTGACCTACATTAAATCGCTAATTCGCTAAGTCTTCCATTCTAAACAGCCTACAGAGAATACTAACCTAAATGATTCAATAGTTTTAATTCTGCTGTCATGTTTGAGTTATGTTTGCTGACAAACTGCAGTCCCCTCGCATGCTTATACAAAATCATTTAAGTGAGACTTGTTTTCTGGATGTTTCATCAGTTGTAAGCCTGTAAGATTTTACAGCTAAACCTAAAGCTCGTTTCTCTGTGCATATTTAAAAATATAGTTTGTTTTGTGTCATGTTGGCGTGCGCTTTGCACAACTAAACACAGAATAGAGATCATTCTCCTTCCTAAAATAGGCCTAGCTATCATCTCCAAATTTCTCAGACATGTCCAGCTAAGCTAGATTTATTCATGACACGTAAACAAACAACTTGAAAGAAAAGCTTGGTTGTTTTTCCATTTACACAGAACAAGATAAAAAGCTGAAAAATTATGGTTGAGACGTGGGCAGCAGTTTGATTTTTCAGGCAACATATTTACAACATGAAAGAGTGAGTCTTGTAGTTTGTGTTTGGCTCGAGGAATACAAAAAGTACAAGGTCAACTTCATCAAAGAAAACAAGACATTATGAAACCACAGGATTATTTCTCAAGTCAGAATGCAAATGTTCTTTTCTTTAAAATCAATTGCGTGTTTACATGGTTATGGAGTAAGTGAAAAGCTGAAGTGAAAGTTCTGTTGTGATATCTGAGACACTTGTCTGAGACCTGCTTAGGATATTCATTGCAAGACCTTTCCACCCTTGAGGAGACACACTTGTTTTAATTAATTATTAAACTGTCCTGACACAGAATGAGACTACAGCGTTACACAGACCTGTGATTTCCCATGATGCAATTCCCTCACATGTGGTAGAGTTTTGCTGTTGTTTTTGCTGTGCAATTGATTATTCATAACAATCAATAACAATTAATAATTTTTACTTTTCCAGAAACATTATCTATTCTACAGGTATATTTAAAAATAAATAAAAAAGTAAAGTTGTCTAAACCATCCTTTTGAGGTGAAACTACTTTTTTAGGTGGGATAAATTCTGGGCCCATGCTGCTAAATGCTGCAGTTGCACCAAAAAGCGTCTTTAGATTCAAATGTGATAAAATGATTTTACAAGCAAAACAGCCAAGATATAAATTCGCAATTCTGAGGAAATAAGTCAGTTTTGCAAGATGTAAATTCAGAATTCAGAATTTCTATCTCACAATTCGGACCTGCGAGTTTAGAATTGTGAGATTATATTTCGCAATTCTAAATGTATATCCCGTAATTCTAAGTTTAGGCCTATATCTCTCAATTCTGAGGCAGAAATAGGAAGGTATTAACTTAAAATCACGAGAAAAAAGTCGCAATTGCCTTTGTTCTTTTTGGCCTGTGGCTGATTCAAGCCAATTCTGGTTATCAAAATGGCTGTATTTTAAAAATATTATTAATATTATTAATAATAATAATAATTCAGTAAGTTCAAAATGTGCTGTACTGTGACTCCTTGTAAGATTAGCTCCAGTAAATATATTATTAAATCTATAGAACATAAACAGTGCTTTAACCTTGCAGAAAAGTGAATGTGTGCTTGAGCTCCATTCCCTACAATTTACATTCTGAACACAGTTGTGATTGTTTGAGCTCTTGGCAAGGTGGGACTCTGTCAGTCCAACTCTGGATTTATTCTGCTGAGTCATTACACAAAATTATATTATGTTGACAGAGACAACTGCCTCAGGAGGCAGTGCTCTAAAATGACTTTGTTCCAAGTTAAATTTAATCTTGAGAGCTGGAAGCATTTCGATACAACAGAGCACAGATTCAGTCCTATAAGAGCATTTAATTCCCGCTTTGGTGTCGGTCATGTGCATGTGGATTTTGCCAGTTGTTTGTCATATTTATCACATTGACTGTCAAGAGCTGGACGTAATGTGCATTTAAAAGGGAAGTGTGCTATTTGTGCACCACTAAGGCACATAGTGTTTTGGACATTTTGTCATCTGCAAGGCAAAAATCAGCGAAATCATTCGTCATTGCAAATGCTAAATTAAATTTGTAGAGTCTAAAACTGACATGTCGGGAGAGAATAATAGCTGCTGTTACTGATTCAGTGAAAATAGCTTAAGTACAAGCACGGAAACATCTAAAACAGCAGATGAGCAACCAAAAAGTCCCTACAACTAAGTGGGAAATTGGTTAAAATGAGCCACCAATCACTCATATGTGAGTCTTGATTTGGGCTGTTTTACATGTTAAAGGAATAGTTCACCCAAAAATGAAAATTTGCTGACAACTTTGTTTCTTTATCAGATGTCAACAGATTTGGAGAATTTTAGAGTCACATCACATGCACACCAGTGGATCTTTTGCTGTGAATGCGTGCCATCAGAATGAGAGCCCAAACAGCTGATAAAATCATCACAATAATCCACACAACTTCAGACTGATGGCCTCAGGGTGAGTCATTTTCACTTTTGGGTGAACTATTCCTTTAATACATGAAACACGTGAGTAACACATGATAAACCATGCTGCAAGGGTCAGTCGCTGTGTTACTAGGGCTTAGAGGAGCAAATCCCTCTCTAATCTACAGACGGCACTGTACTTCTGTTTACACTGGGATTTAAATCTTTCACTGGATCTCCAGCACCATAAACTGCTTAACTGTTAAATATTATGCAATCTGAAAACTTTTAATGGCTGAAAAAATTGTGAGCTAATGAACGGTGTGCTCATAATTAAAGGGTTAGTTCACCCAAAAATGAAAATTAGCTCATAAATTACTCACCCTCAAGTCATCCTGGGTGTATATGACTTTCTTCTTTCAGACGAATCCAGTCGGAGTTATATTAAAAATTGTCTTTGATCTTTCAAGCTGTTTAATGCTACTCAGCGGGTGTTGCATGCATCCGTCCAAAAGCAGTTAAATAAAATGCGCCCATCCATTAAAAAAAAGTGTCTCACACGACTCAGGGGGCTGAACAAAGGCCTTCTGTAGCGAATCGATGCGGTTTTGTAAGAAAAATAACCATATTTAAAACGTAATAATCACTTTAATGTAGCTTGCGTATTCAAAACGTAATAATCACTTTAATGTAGCTTGCGCTCACTGTTGTACACTGGAAGCAGTTCCGGGGAATGACATTTACATTTACATTTACATTTAATCATTTAGCAGACGCTTTTATCCAAAGCGACTTACAAATTAGAACAATAGAAGCAATCAGACCAACGAGAGAACAACAGTGTACAAGTGCCATGACAAGTCTCAGTTAGTCTAGCACAGTACACGTAGCTAGTTTTTTTTTATTAGCCTCTCATTTTCAAGGCCGCTCTTATGATACAAGTTGAATTATAAAATAAGTAAAAAAAATATAACATTACAGTCTAATGAACTATATTACTAGGTGCAGGATTTTTTAATTCCAGTTATGAATACATTTTTTACTGAACATTGTTGAGGCTGTTTTATAAAACCAATATGCCAAGATTTTAACATAGTTAAGGCTTCACAGCATGCCTAAAAATTCCTCGCCCATGATCTGTCTAATGTCTGTTGCTTTTTATATAAAATAATTAAGTATTAAATGATAGACAGATATTTTTATTGATTGCTGAGGGGAAATCAGTTGCAAAACAGCATCAGCATCAACCATGCACAAACCCATATAATGCAATTAAATGAGACAGGCAGAAGTTCATTGCTGTGAAACAAATGTTTACAGCATTAATTAGCAGTGCTATCACTAGACTTAGAGCTTAGACATTTTTTCCTCATGAAAAAGAAACATTCCTATTAAAGCTGAAAGCAGCGATGAAAAGGCCCTCGCACCCGGGCTCACCGCCACCCGGTGACTTTAGGAAAACAGCTAACGGTGGGCAATATGCATTTAAAGTGATAAATATAGGAGGAATATGTCAAAGTTATTTATATGTGCCAAACTTCCTACTGCCAGCTGGTGGCGCTATGACTGTAACTGAATGTTGGCATGTACATGTCTTCAGACCAGGGCTTTTACCAAATCTGTGAAATTTGGTGCAGATTGAACATGGTATGTTTGAGTTAGTGTAAAACATGAAATGTGCTGTTGCCAACAGGTGGTACTATAAATTATAACTGAATATTGGCATGTAAATGTTTTCAGGACAGGACTCTTATCAAACTTGTTAAATTTGGGGCAGATTGGACACTGCATGACTGAGTTACAACAACTTCCTGTTTCACTGCATTAATAGCATGCTTTAGCACTTAGCTAAGTGTTGCTAGTATGTTTTAGTATGTTTCTAGCATGTTGCCAGCCTATTTAACACTTGTTGACGCTTTGTAATATGTTCCTAGGAGACCATAACAGTGTTAACCATGACACTTCCTGTTGCCAGCAGGTGGCGCTATGACTATAACTAAATATGGGCATGGGTATGTGTTCAGGACAGAACAACTATCAAATGTGTGAAGTTTGGGGCAGATCGGACATTGCTTGCCTGAGTTACAGCAACTTCCTGTTTCATGGCGAAACATCAAATGTGTGTACCGATTTTCGTACATGTACGTAAAACGTAGCTCGACGCGCACTCAGTTGAATGTGTACAGGTGG